GTAATTTAAGCAACGCTCTTCATAGTATATGCTTTTATTCCATGAAAACTTGAGAATAACTACTTGCTCAGAAATAAACAAATATTTGTCAGGTGAGTGAGACAAGAGTGTTGATTCTAACCCTTTCACATCAGGGCAAGAAAGAATCAACTCTCTGTTGACAAATAATAACTTCCTAGTTCCCCCAGTATTTTCAAAGCTATGCAGTGTTGAATCTTTATGAACACAGTCTTTTAGGAGTAAATAGATAATCAACTATTATTTGCGATTGGAAGAGGTAATTTAGAAAACTGTCAAAAAGCTACTGGATTACTATTTTATCACCAATATGTGCTCTTCTCATTCTGCCTTAGATTTTGACTTGTCCTGTTTTTGAATCCTAGGAGTTACCTTGTTTTGTAAATAAGAGCAGGAAGAATTATTGCATTTTCATTTTACAAAGGGAAAATCAAGTCATGAAAACATATATTAACCATTGGATTATCATCTTGGAAATGGGAAAGGAATTTGAGTTTTACAAAGAACCCTTACTTATGAAGCTGTCAGTCAGTAAGTCAATTTCAAAGGTATCATAGTAGGGCTAAAATAAGAAATTACATCTTCCTTTGGGAACATTAATTTGTTACATGGATACTGGGTGGTTTTACTTTAGTAATTTACACCATATTTTTATTTCCTGTTTCTTTAATGCTTACTGTAGATTGAAAAGTTATTCTTTTTATAGAAGGTAAATAATCTCTTAAAATATCTAAACTGTAACTCAGGAAATTCACTCTTTTTATAACTTTCTATTTTTCCTTCTTAGTCATTGGTATTTGTTTTTATATTTAAAATCCTGTTTATATGCCAATGCTCAGCCACACAATCTGTGCAACTGCAACTGTTCCGTAACATTCCACAGCAGCGTGCAGAGGGGTGAGGGGCACAGCACAAAATCACCCTGAGATCCGAACCCTCGCTGCACTGCATCCCTCTTGGCTTTGGGGCAAACTGAACCTATTATCCTTCAGAACTCTTTTCTGGGACTAATCTATATACTTCCACAGGTTTGTTCTGGGAGCTAGAGCCCTTGTGAGAGTCTAGCACGGGTTCCTTACCAGTGTCACTCAGCGGAAGTGCTGTTAGCGTTCCAGATAAGAGAGTTCTGTGCAAGGAAATGCCCCCAACACTGCCATCTGTGCCCATCAATGAGGGCTTTGTGACACGATCATACTACACCTTCTGCTGACACTGATTTTTTTCTATCCATTCTTCTTTCAAAAAATATTTTTTAAAGTATTATATTCTCATTCTTTGAGACTAGGCTCAATTTTTACCTCTTCCAGTCCTTAACTTCCAATAGTTGAGATAACATCATGTTTAACACTCTTAAGGCGCTTTCACACCGAATGACATTGCTTATGTAGTTCTATGGTCTTTGGACTACTAGCAACCTGATGACGCCAGGGGCCGTGCTGTGCTTCTCTTTCAGCACCTAGAGTCCCACACAATGCTTGAGGTACCGCTGGTGCTCAGGGACGTTTGTTGAATAAAATGGTCCACTCCATAAATCCTCTGAACCAGGTAGCCTTCATATTCTGACGCATGCCAGGGATGCCCTGTTTCAGGCCCATAACATCACCAGGGGCCTTTCTAGTTCATCTCCATACTCAGACTTACAAGATAACCATACACCTCAGTTGGCACCAGAATCACTTAGAAAGATACAGGACTGGAGTCACAGCTTGCCAGCAAGGCAGCATCAGGCTTCCCCCTTTGGGGAGATCTGCCTAACTCTCTGTGCAGTAGTCCGCACTGCTGCCCTGTAGCTAGGCTGTCCCTGAGCCTCTCCTCCCTGGATCACCTCGGGTGCAAGGAAAAGAGATCCGCTGTAGGTGGATTCTGGATTTACCCTGGCCTAAAAGCCTGAGGTTCCAAAGAAGCCCATATCTCTTGTAACTCTATAACAGATACCTCTTCCGTGTGTCGAAGGACATGCCTAATTACAAGTGTCACCACAATCACAGAAATGCTATGGTATGGCTTCCTATCAGTATTTATCATTCCTCAGCCCAGATGCAGTTGACCAATCAGCAGCCATTTACATCATAAGCAATATTGCCTAGTAACACTGTAACATTCTACTTTTAACAGGTCTCCAGAGAAACAGAGCTAAAAAGGTGAGAAAGTTAAATGTCAAATTCTCTTCCAGAAGGGTCCTGTGAACCCTTCGTCTGTGTCCTTTGCTCTTGCTCTGCCTGGAAGTCTCCACCCCAGACACCTACACGGCCAGCTCCTGTACCTCCTTCCATTTTTTCGTCAAAGTCACCTTCCCAACGAGGCCTTCTCAGGCCACCCTACTGGAGAATTGCAACTCCTGATCTCAGCTGCTGGGACCTCCTACCATCCTTGTATGTTTTATTTTCTTTTCCACTGCCCTTATTACCTTCTAACATGTATAATTTATTAATTGATTTTCTTTATTCTGCTTGTTTTTCCCATAGAATGTAAGTTCCATAAGGTTGGGATATTTGTCTTTTTTTCCCCCTTAGGTATCGATAATTCTTGGCTCCTAGAACAGTGCCTGGCACAAAGCAGGTTCTTCAACAACTGCTTGTTTTATGAATGAATGAATTTATGCCCTCTCTCTCTCTCTTTCAAGCTCTAGTTTTTCACTGCATCCTCTTTTGAGAAATGGGGAAGGACAAATTTTTTTCAGCCAACAACATAAAAGGCAGCATGGTGTCAGAGATTAAGAACAGGGAGTTTGGGCCCAAACTGCCTGGGTTTGAATAAGGGCTTTGCCACCCACCTCAGGAGGTCGCTCTAAATTCTCTGTACCTTAGTTGTCTCATCTGTAAATGGGGGTAATAATAGTGCATCTTAGGGTTGTCATGAGGATAAAATTATTTAAAATATATGTAACGTTTTCAGAATAATGTACTATGTGTTAACTAGTATTAAAATCAACTTTAAAATTGTCTTGATTTTTACTCTGTACCACATCTACTATATTTCTCTCTTCCAAGCTCCTCTTTCTCTGTTGTTTTACCTGAAAATCACATCTACACCACAGCCTTTTTTTTTCCAATTACAGTTTATATTCAATATTATTCTGTATTAATTTCAGGTGTACAGCATAGTGGTTAGACAATCACACATTTAACAAAGTGTTTCCCCTGATATTTCAAGTACCTACCTGGCTCCATACATATTGAATAATATTGTTATTACACTACTATCAACTATATTCCCTATGCCGTACTTTACATCCCTGTGACTATTCTCTAATTACCAATGTGTGCTTCTGGGCGAAGACGGTGAAGGAATTGAGAAGTACCCCCATGGCCTTTAACTTGCACCCACTTTTCTAACTACTGAAACTAAGATTTCAAAAGACCTCATTGCTACTTTTCTCTCATTCGTCCAATGAGTTAGCTGTACTGCCTGTCACTGTTAACAACACCTGCCTTTGACATCTGAGTCCCTCCTTTCCTGTGTCCATCCTTTCTCACAGCTGTCCCTTCTTAGTCCCCTTCAGAGGCACAGCTGCCTTTCCTCCATTCGCTCTCTAATGTTATTCCTAACAGTACTGCCCTCGCCAGTTTCCCCTCGGGTGATTCACTGATGACAGCAGTGAGAGACGGTCCTACTGAGTTTCCCAAAGATGCCACGTTCTTTCTCACATCCATGACATAGAACTTCCTTTCCTCTTCCTGGCACCTTCTCCCACCTCATCTCCTCCTCCCTAACTTCAGCTAGTTTTCCAAATTTTAATACAACCCATTCCCTTTTCTTTTGTTCCCAAGCCAAGCACCCCTCCTCCGCACCCCCTTATTGCTTATGGCTGCATCTATCATAGTATTACAGAGCCTTTTCTGATTGTTGGTTTATTTAGTTTTACTCCAGAAATAAACTGCTTATAGGTATATATTGTGTTGGCCAAAAACTCCATATGGATTTTTTCCGTAAAATAAAAGACACATTTTTCATTTTTGCCAATAACTTTATTGATTTGGACATTTTATGTCAGCTGTCTCCTGCTATTATTGGCTTCTAGTGGGTAGAGGCCAGGGGTGCTGCTAAACATTTTTCAATCCATAAGACAGCCTCACGGGGAAGAATTATTTGGCAAAAATGTCAATAGTACCAAGAAACTTCGCAAACCACTTTGACAATTTCGGTCAGTCACAGCATCTTCTCTATATACTGCACACATCTTTTTTTGCATTTTAGTTGTGTTTTTACTTTTCTTGAAATAATAAAGCATAGTATGCTGAAAATATTGTGTATTTTCTTCCATCTTCAATGTTAAAATGGCTGCACAAAAATTCACCAATTTTGGTAAGTTTTTCTTAACTCCACACTGACATGACAGATGTCGCAATACAGTCTAACAAAATTGTTTTGAATGAAGTTAAAGGCAACTAAGTGCTACTAGAGTCATCTTACAGGAAAAATGTTAATGGACTTTTTGGCCAACGCACTATGTCCTCAAAGTACTGTGCCTGATAGTAGGTATGTAAAAATAATCTGGATTCAATATATGAATATATAGCTTCTACATAGAATATATTTTGATTGGGCTACATTTTAATTGAGAATGAACAATGGGTAAAATTAATAATGATATCACATCAAAATATCCTTCCAGAAAATCTTCTCAGAGGTAAAGAAAAAAAAGCTCCGCTTTGGCGATATAAATGGCACTGTGGATACACATGCTATATTTTACTATAAAGCCAGCTTTAAAAGAGAAGGGACATCTTTTAGTGTTAGTGACATCAAATATTATTTGACTCCTGTCAACTGCTGTTTGAGCTCAATGAAACCTTACAAGTACCATATTTACCTTATTAGGAAAATTTAGTAAATCGGTGCTTCATGCTTTCTGCTATGATTTTAAACACCATCCGCAAGATTTTTACTTGGTTAAAAAATCACACAGCCAGCTCTTTTAAGAGGGTTCAATGGCTGTCTTGCTCTGGCTTCCATATGACATGAGTCTACTAGGCACCTACCTGTAAAGTACATCCAAACACACCGATCATCAGCATGGCCACTGAAAGGTAATCAGTGAACACATCCCACCACGGCTTCAGCACCCGGAAGGCAGGCTGCTGCTCAGAGAACTGCCGGAACTCTGTCACTGGAATCATGTTTCTGAGAAAGGAGAGATTACTAGTGAATTTACTGATCTTCATGCACCACATACTCCATTGTTAACCACATTTGAAATGCTGCTTCCACCCTCCAGAAATAGTGGTCTGGGTTAGACTAGTAGCTCTCATGGCATCTTGGTGTTTTCAGAAACCATCGACTAAAATAATGAACCTCATGTGAAAAAGACAAGCACCTTTGCTGTTGTCCATGAAACTGGTTCCCTTTGGCTCCATGTGGACCAGGGAGACATGGCCAGAGCAGTCTCGGAGTCTATTATTTCCTGGATTCTCTCTTTCCTTAAGCAGAATTAAGAGGATGCCAGGAAAGGCAGAATCCAGCCTTTGAGATGTTTTTGCTACTTATCTATCTTGGGTTGCTGCTTTAAACTGTTTTTTAAGTGCAATCTCAGCATTGGTCTATGTTAATTATCTACTGCTATGTGTATTTTGTTTGCTCCTAGGAGAAGGCCAACAACTTTGCCATATAGTCCTTGTCTTGTAAGATGTAAGATCTCACTGATGTTTAAGGGGAGGGGTTGGGGAGATCTTCATTTTGTCTTGCACCTCCCTCCTTCTATGGTCCCTGTTCTTTTGACTTGATCTCTTTTCTTGAATTCCTGTACTTCTCCTATTTCACTGCGAGCCTCAAACTTATCCCTTATCTCTTCTGAGAAAACAGTTGGTCCTGAAAACACCTATCCCTATCTAAATGACAGAATATAAATGAATAGGGTGCACCAGTGGGTCTCGGAAAAGGGGAAATGACGGCATCCTTTTCTTGGTCTGTACTCCCCTTTCTCACCGCTCAGTCCCGCTGTCTTTATTACGATCTGGGACCTGAAGTTATTCATCCTGCTAATGTGAGAAGGAATATTCTTCCTTATCTTATGACAATAAGTAAGAGTAGCCAAAGAGGACTACAAAGACTTCTCTCCGTTTTGCCATCTTTGAGTCCAATAATCTAGCTCACTACATTAGTTGTTGTTATTGAGTCTAATTAAAGAAAAGGGGAAAGGCTATATTTAGTGCTTATTCTCCAAAGCCTTGTTTATTTCCTGGGTCTTCCTTCCCTAATACTGAATTAAAGACTGTACAATAAACAGCCTAAAGAAAAGCCAAGATTCTTCTTTGCATTTGCTGGTGGTTCTCTTTGGAAACCATTATGTTATCCATTCTCTTTCGTTTTATGTGTTTTTCTTAAGAAGTAATGACCTATGTACTTCGCATCTGTGCATTTGATACGATTTTCTTCCTTCCTCCCTCCCTCCTTCCCTCCCTCCCTCCCTTCCTTTCTTTCTTTCCCAAAACACAACTTCCTTAACTCTATTCTATTACTACTAGGCTGCAAACTTCTTGAATGTAGTACCTATGTTATGTGCATGTATTCTCAGAACATGTTATAGGCACGCCACACAAGCTAAATAAATGTGTATACTTAGTGCCATTAAAATTTCATCATAGTTCAGCTCTGATGGTGCAGCTCAGTGGACTGAGTATCAGCCTGTGAACCAAAGGATCACTGGTTTGATTCCCAGTCAGAGCACACACCTGGGTTATGGGCCAGGTCCCCAGCTGGGGGTGCGCAAGAGGCAACTACACATTGATATTCCTCTCCCTTTCTTTCTCCCTCCCTTATTCTCTCTCTAAAAATAAATAAATAAAATCTTTAAAAAAAAGTCATACTAGTTCAAAGTTTGATTTTTTTTTCCTGACACTTCATGACCTCTTTTCTTCTCAATGCATCATTACAATCTCACTGCCCCAATTTTTTCCCTAGTAACAGTTGTTCTAGCAGCAGTCACAGACAGGCACTGACTCATCTTAATTTTCAAGTTTGCTTCAGGAGCTATTGTCTTATTCGATTTTACATTCCCATCACTCACTACAACATCTGGCAAACAAGAGGCCTTAACCAACTGCCTGTTGAATAATTAAATGAGTGAGTTCAAATGCTCGTTCATGGAACAATGCTTGTCCAAATCAGATTTGGGTGACACCAGTCAGCTGCAGGGACAAGTTCAGTACCTGTGCTCTCGTCTACTTTCTTTGACAGACCCGGTTGCTGTATCCTTCACGATGAGTTTCTGACTACCTTGGAAGGACTTGGGCTTGTTCTTTGAACTGGGGAAGAACTTCAGGGATAAAATGGACCAAGGGAGAGGAGCGGTTCTCAAACTTTTTGATCTCAGGATTCTTTCACACTCTAAAATAGAGGAAGTCCCCAAAGACCACTTTTTATGTGGGCTACACCTATCAATATTTACCTTACTAGAAATTAAAACCAAGAAACTTAAAAAAATATAACTTATTAAAAAATAAGCCCATCTTGTTAACGTAAATTATATTATAAAAATAACTATATTCTATAAAACAAAAAATGAGAATAATGGCACTTTTTTTTTTACAATATTGCAAGTCTCTTTAACATCTGGCTTAAAAGAAGGTAACTAGGTCCTCGTATCCGCTTCTGCATTCAATCTGTTGAGGCATGTTGTCTTGATTAAAATTTATGAATCAGATATGTGTTTGGAAAAGAGAAGTATTTTCACATCCTTTTCATCAAATTGTAGATATGAATTTTTGACAATATATCAAATTGACTTGGTTAGCTGCAATATGGAATCTGAAAATTAGCAACTTTTCAAACTCCTAAAATTAAAACTCATGTCTATCTTGCACTTTGAGTGAATCTTTTCCCCACACATGACTTTGCAACATCATGTACTGCTTTTCCAAATGTTGACGAAATATATTAAAAGTCACATTCATTAACATCACCACTGCTTTCATCAGAAAAGCTTTTAAATAAAGGGAAACTGTCAAACTCCTGGTGGTGAATATATGATTTCCCAAATTCTAATCATCACTTGAAAGTTAGGATTTCATTTCTGGCAGCAAATGCTATCAGTTATTCTTCTTAAAGTATCACTTCGCTGATTTTGAAAAAATATCCTTCACACACTCAAGTCTAAACACTCAGTTGTTTCATTCAAGTAAAAATGGTGTAATATTATAAAGGAGCTACTTCAACTTTCAACTTAAATAAGGACTTTCTCTTGAGATACACATTGTACTTTAAAAGGTAGCAGAAGTACTTTATATGTTTTCCCCCCTCATCAAAGTGTATTAATACAATATGCAGTCAAGAGTTGAGAGTTATTAAAGTATTAATTTTACTGCTTCAATGAAGACAATAAATGAAACTGGCAATTTTTAAAAAGTAGTGTGTGCTGATGAAGAATACAATCTCTACAGTTAAGTCTAGTGCCTCTGTCTTGATTCCTGCCAAAACACCTTACACGTCATTGCCTTTGTACCATCAGTGAGAAAGGCAAAAAACATCTTAGCATTAAAAATTAATTTTGACCTTGTGGACTCCCTAATGAGGTTTAGGCTCCGAGGGTTCCATGAATCACACTGAAAACCACTAAGGAAGAGGCTCATATTCCTTTATCTATGGCTCTCCTTGACAAAGCAAAGTCCTGGACACTCATTGTGGGTGAGGGGCTCCCAGTCTTTGGCTCAGCTGCCTTCACAGGCACCTTTCCTTAACATGGGAAAAAGACTAGGAATTTAAGAAACTTAAGTATTCTCCACTGCTTCCTAATACTGGCACAGCCTAGTTAAGATAAATCACAAGATCTGTTAGAGAAACAGCTGGTCAACATTACATAACCTTTATAGCTCATATATGTATGTACATACACACTACATATAAATGCATGTAATAAGATGTATATTATACAGAGATATAAATACATATACACACAGATTTTACTGTTTAAACGTATCACAAGGCTCAAAGCCAGTATCAGCACTGAATTAATCTTTGGAATTAGTTTTGATGCAAAAAAAGGGGCAGGAGGTTAAAGGAGTTGATTAAAAATCTCTAAAACTGAAAAGAGAGTGGATGAAACTTTTGCTTTCTTAACTGAAATTTAACATTCTTATTTTTTAATTTATTTTTTCCATCACCATTTCTCCCCCCCACCCTCTTTCACCTCCACCCCCCCATCACCACACTGCTGTCCGCGTTTGTGAGCTTTCTTTTTTGCTCAATCCCTCCCCCCGAAGCCCCTCCCCCACAGCCCTTCCTCCGAACTGCCAGACTGCTGTTTATGAGTCTATCTCTATTTTGCTTGCTAGCAACAAATTTCAGGGCCTCTGAAAGTCATACATTACAGTGACAAGTACATTTGATTTATGTTTCATTATTATGAGTTTCCAAGTGATTTGTGACCATTTCAAGAATTATCATTTTAAGCTGAAGGAGCCTCTTCTGAATAAACTTCTGGGTTTAAATAGTTTCTCTCCCCCTGAAGCTCAAGTCAGAATAATTTTATTTTTATTAATCTTTTGTTTTAGAAATGCAAATGATTGTCTTTATACTTCTTCTAACTCCAATGTCTAACTTGTTATATAAGGTTTTAGTTTGCCTAATTAAATGTCTTTGGAAATATGGCATTTCAACTTCAATCAAGAGATCCTAGTATATTAATTTAAAAATATACAGTTTTCCATTATCTCTGCTGTGTCCTTTTCCAGAAATCAATGTGCACTTCCTTTATTAAAAATACTTATTCTCAAAAGTCATTTTAATGGCTTCATTAGCCACAAACCTTTACCACTCAAATTTATCATATCACCTAATCTTTGAGTAAAGAATATTGGTAAAGTTAGTTGCAAACAAGGAATTTCTTATTTCTTTCATTTATTTGGCTCTTCCTGAAACAATCTGTCTTCACTCCTTCTCAGGAGAATTTTAATATCCTATTTTCCAGAATTAATTACACAGAACAAATTCTACTCTATTAACCCGTGACTTTCAGACTATGAAACTTACTCTATTTTGATTCAAAACTGATTGTTAATTAACACTGCTCTTCTATGGCTACCAGGTGGGTACAGCTAATGTTTGCTTTGTGCAGTACTTTTTTTCTGGCATCACCTTTAGAAAGTACAATCACACACCGTCTGAGGAAAAAAGGGCCAATTCTAAAT